CGTCGTCGAATCGGCTGACGCACATAATTGGACCGAATGACTCTTCTATGGCGGCGAAGTTGTCGTCCTCAACTTCAGCGAGTATTGTCGGTGGGAAAAAGAGACCCGGTCGTTTTAGCGCGTTACACGCCAGCAAAGCTGACACTCAGCATTAGAATCCTCGGAAACGGCCACTGCTTCCGTGCCAGAAGAAATTCAGGAGACTCCATACTGTTCAGGGAGAATTCTTTAACAGAGTGTAGCAGAGGGGCGGATGATGTGGCGCTCTCAATACATTACCTTGGAATTTCTTCTTCCAGCCTGAACCCCAAGATTTCCTTTTCCAGTGAGACTTCCCTCCTCACCGATCGAGAACGACCCCCGAGGGGTGTGTCAGCCATATTGTACCCTGTTACTCTGAAGACTCTGAATTTACTCTATTCGCAGGACTTTTCGGACGCGAGTTGGGGGCTTCTCTCAAATTTGCTCCAGATTCACAACATAACGTCTAAAGCCGCTTACCTTTGCTCCACCCGCAACTGACTTCTGAACGTATTCGATGAGCTTGTCCAAATGAGCTTTGTGATTTTGTGGTCCATGATTGGTGGATCTGTCGAGTGGATCACCGATGACATACTAAACAACCAGAATTTATATCTCCAAGTGTAAAATAAGCTAAAATCCGACCTTCTTCGTTTCTTCCACCAACTTCTCCATGAAATCGTCATGAATGCTGTTGGCAACGAAAATTCTTCCAGCTGCGATACAGTTCTCACCCTTGTTGAAGAACACCTGTAAGACTACACATTTACGGGAGGTGGCAATTTCTTCAGGAAAAAAGGATCAAAGGGTTGAAGGGCTTATCATCGAAAACCGGCTTTGCAGAGGTTATTTTTTTTTCTGTACCTGCCGGCTAGAGTAGCGGCGGAACAAGAACTTTGAATAATTGATCCATTCCTTCAAATCCGATGGATCATCGCCACTAACAATAACAGAGTCACTCTACTGATTAATGACCACCAGAGCACGTCTTTCCGTTGTGGAAAAATTCTGCGACAATGCAACCCCTTTCAAAAACTCCCTTCTGGTGCGACCCTGTTCCTGTTCCCAATCCTACGTGCTATGGCCCTCAATTGTTCCATCCTTTCCAAAACTTTTTTTTCGGAATCTCTCCACTTCTTCCTCAAAAGCTGTCGTCGAGGGGGAGGGTGGGTGCTGGGGATTCCTGCGAGGTGTGTTCCCTGGTGAGAACTCATGGAAAAGCTAATTCGGCAGTATGAGGGCAAAAAAGCTGCGATGAGTAGAAACAGTAGAAACAAACCGCATTGCATGTCTGCTTGATAGCTTTGTCAAGGTCTGCGTCGGCGAAAACGATTAATGGCGACTTGCCTCCCAGCTCCAAAGAGACTTTTTTGACGTTTGATTTGGCGCAGCTGGAAAATAAAGCAATTTTCAATGAAGAAAATTGACGATGTCCGGCTCGGAGGGGGCATTTTATGCTTTCGCTACTTCCTATCATTAACTATTTAACTAACACCTCGCCCTTTGATCAGACCTGCAAACTCCTACAAAGCTGCGAAATTTTTTTGAATGAGCTAATTTGGTCACAGCAAATTGCAGGTCATCACAAGGTGGTCTCTACAGCTCAGCTGAACAATTCGATGGTACCTCAAAGCCGAACAGCCGAAATATGAACAATTAATCAACTATTCAATAGAATAGTGTCAGAAACGAAGATATTTAGGTTTTTAAACCACAAACTTCAACAGAAAGGCTAAATGGAAGACCCATACCTGGCCATAACTTGAGCGCCGATTTCGGTTGATCCAGTGAATCCGATTTTTCGCACGTCTGGGTGATCCGAAAGGATCTGTCCGACTTCTCCTGGAATTCAAAGACTGCAACTCAGGTCCAGATAAACCGCGAGCCACAAAAAGCAAACCTCCCGATCCAGTTACAATGTTAATTACTCCGGGAGGGATTCCGGCCAGAACTGATAGTTCGGCGAACTTCAACGCGGTAAGTGGTGTCACCTTGAACAAATTTGCGCGATTTTTTGGACCGTCAAAATAAAGTATCCCTCAATTTTCTCATAAAAACTCCTCGAGCTTACCTGAGCCGGTTTGTGAACGACCGTGTTTCCGGCGGCCAAACAGGCAGCCATTTTCCACGATAGCATCATAAGCGGGTAGTTCCAAGGTGTAATCAGACCGACCACACCAACTGGTTCGCGCTTTGTTAGCGTCAAGTTGAAATTCGGTCGGGCGTTCGAAATTGGGATTGTGTGGCCCTGAAAGAGATGAGTCAGTCCAGATTCACCTTAATACCGTCTATTTTTCGCATGCTCCGCGCCTGTTCCCTGTTCTCTCTCGAACTAAACCTGCACCATTGTATTCGGCTTCTCCGTTACCGTTTCAAGGTTCCCATTCCTTATGGATGTCTTGAAAGCCGCCCACTTGTGCAGCCGATTGAACTGCCCTCCTCGCACATCGCCAGTGACATACAAATGGGGCAAAGGG